TACATACGTGTGTGTTCAAGGGAAGTATGTCAAGCTAATGTACTAGCAGCACCAAGTGAAATGAGGCAACTTAGCAGCAAAAGTGGATTAGATCAGTAAATGCATGGATTCTATTCCACGTAGTCAGCAAAGCAGCTGCAAAACAAAACTTTAAAACAGTTTGTGGTGTTCATTTTATTAAGGAGCAGCATGATCACGAAGAGGATGAACCATCTGAAAAGGTCTGTAATGTGGAAGACAGAATTTGACTGAATTAGTTCTTTTAATTACTTGTCTGTCCAGCCAGAACTCATGCAGGGAAAGAGGAGGTCCACAGGAAACAGCAATACCTTTGATAAATGAACTTCACAGCAACTGATATCAGTGAAAGTCTTGAATAGTGATATTGTCTTGAAGTCCTGAAAGTTTTACTGATATCAGTGAAAGTCTTGAATACATATCAACTCTGAAAATCAGGGCCGAGTTTCGGTCAGTGCTTTTTGAGTGTCTGGTTCCAGTCCATGTATTAGGAATCATGGCACTGGCAGGGAAACACAACCATCTCTGAGATGGAAAATAACTGTGAGGTGAAAGCTATGGGGAGAAGGTGTTTTCTGACCTGCAGTAGTGAAGTCATGCTAATGTCTTTTCTTAAGTGCTCATGCATACTACTTATTCACAGTAACTAAAGACCTGCCAAAGCTTTAGCTCTGCTTCAAACAGTCGAATACTATTTTTTCATGCTATTTTAGCTATTGCTAAATAGCTAAATAGGGGCCTAATGTAGTCATCTAGCAGTGACAAATGTCACCAGTCAGTAACGTACTCTGTGACTTGCCCAGAATGTTTCACGGTTGCTCTGACTGTGTGGATATGACACAGCATATTTAACTTGCTTTCTGTATCACAGTGTGCTCTGTCCGATGAAGGAAATATTCACAGTAGTGCAACTGGTGAAAGGGACGTGTCAAAATGCTTTTAAAAATGCTTTAAAAATATAATATTGATTATAACCAACATTGTGATTTCAGTGAGGTTTTTGTTTTGTGCGTGTGTCTTTTCTTTATTATCATATTATAGTAGGAGAAATTATAACCCTATCAGAAATGATATGAAATTCAAACTGCCAAAACAAAATAAACTAAGACAACTGGAAAGAGGTTACCTACAAGAGCACTTGCTTTTCATAATATTTTCATGATTGAAGTCATGCTTATTCATTTTACTAATAAATTAACTTAAAGCATCCTGTCAGCCAAATATCTCCAGATTGTTGAAGAGAACAGTAAGGGACCTGCCTGAGGCCAAAACAGAAGGACCATCATACTTGATGCGGAAATTTCAAGCATTCCTGGCTTTCAGATATAACAAGAATATGCTACTTTCTCTCATATTGTGCCTCCCCTACCTACTCTGACAGGCACTTTCTATATTGTATAATGTCTCTTATGCCAGAATTATCTTTTCAGGATTCAACTTGCTGAAAGGACATTAGCAGTACTGAATGAAGCACTGTTAGATCAGAGGAAGTAGGTTCATCAGAGTTGGCAGTCCTGAGATCAGTCCTAGGTGAGTTAGTGTAAGGTAGAGTTTACAGTGTTTTTTTTTTTTTTTCTTGTTAGGAATCATCAGTGTTATTAAATAGCTGCCTATGTCTGTCAGCTCCTGCTCTGGTCACAAAAGTCTGAGATTTCTGTAAGCTGTTTGACCCAAGACCTAGTAGAATCACTTGGACTACTGGGAAGGAACTTGAAGCTGTTGGTGCAGACTGTGCATGTCTGACAATTTCTTGCTACTCTAGACTGTTCATACTAAAAATAATCAATATAGATTTTTTTATGCTGTTTCAGGGAACTAAGTATCTTCGTTTCATCATTAACCTGTCTTGGCAGGAATTAGGATTGTGGTGCCTATAAAATATAATTTTAATCAGATTAGAATCCGCTCGCAGAGGCTGACAGGAAAAGAGATTGAAGTGCTGACAAGTTAACATAATATGTAGTAAGCAAGATGTGATTATAAGCCAATATATGATTTAAACAATGTCCTAATTAATACAATATAGATACTGAAAGCCCTGGGAAAGTAATGGAGAACTGGGTTTCCTTCATAACTTAGAAACAGACAGAKCATTGTGTCCTTGAACTCAATAATCACAGCTCTTTGCCAAGGTAGAGGAATAGACCTCTTCACTTGGATCACTAGCTGGGCTTTACCAACCAAAGAAAGTCTTTCAAAGCTAGACGAGAGAGAGGGAAGTCCAAGAGAAAGGAAAAATATTTACTGGTAGTTTAGCAGTCTGTTGAGACTGCCAGGTCAAATTAAACTAGGTTGGTTCTTAGCATTTAGTGCATCAGGAAAGATAGTTTTAAGACCATTGGACTGATTCGTATTTAAGTCCAGCCTAATTTGTTGCATGAATGCTAACTTAATGTCAGTTGCTTTGATTACTAGCTGGAGGTGTGAACGGTACCTGGCTTTGTAGAAATATATTTGAAACAATTCCATAAATGCTAAATGATTTTAGGTGGGAAAGAATTAGAGTGCTGGTCTTCTGAATTAATTGGTGAAAAATGCTACATTTTGAAATTTAGTTGTGGCACAGCCTGATGTACTTTGGTACTTTGCTGAGAACTTTCTGGTTTGGTCTACAAGAAAAGAATTGGGCATATCTGCTTTCAAGCAATTTGTTTACCTCCTCAGGCCCAAGTATCACACTGGATCTGGCCACTAGTTCTGATCTGAAGCATGTCTGGTTTTGAGGGGAAGAAAATCCCACTATTAAGAATTTTTTTCCATTTGTTTTAACTCTTCCCATACTTCTGGGACAGTGAAATTAGTCAGTTTATTAACCAGTCGCTCTGATTGCAGTGGAGGGTTATCTTTTGGAAAAGTTCTTTGTGTTATTGACATGTCAGACTTTTTCTCTCTCCCTTTTTATCTTCAAAGAAAAAAGAAATTCTGGGACATGACTTCAGCTTGCATTTTGGGGTAAAGGCAAAAAGTGGAAATAAATAGGAGGAAAGATAAAGATGTTTGGAAAAGACAGTATATGTGAAGGAGAAACTAAAACTATGTGAAGGCCTGTAGAGTAACAAAAATTGCCTCTGGGTTTTAGTGGAGAGCTTATTCATTTTGTCTCTTTTTGAGAGTTTGTGTCTCCTTGGAAGAGGTCAGAGCGCTTACTTGGATGGTTGCCCTCCCAGTCTAGCAAGCGCTCTGCTGGTGGTTACTCGCAGAAAAGTGACACATTCCTTTGGAGCTTTTTAGGTTGTGTGCGCCCAGCTTGAACACAGAGGAAAACTGTGAGGAGGAGTCGACAGCTACAAAATTAGTAAAATAGATTCATGTGGAACATACCACAGTTCCTGGGCAGGATCCTGTAATCCTAGATGGTATGGCACTATTACACTTTCGCATTGGTTCCCCTTTTGTTTTTCAGGGGACTATTTGGAGAAGCAAGTGCTGTTTGGCAGGAGTCTAGCCCTGCATAATTTACATTACTATTATTATATTTTATAGCATGCAGAATAGACACTCAGAGCTGAAGAGGGTCCATGAAAACATGGCTTCCATTTGTCAGTCCGGATTTGATTAGTTACATTAGTTGTAAGAGTGAGAATTGAGTAAGCAGAATGTGACTACGCAGGCAAAGAAACATCAAGAAACGGTTGCTTTTGGTGGAGAGTGGCCCAGTTTATAAACATGTTTTGTACTTCTTATTTTCTTTTAGTGAAAATTTGGACACTTATCAATTCAGGCAAATAGAGAGGTGAAGAATTCCCAGAGATGCAACTCGCACAGCTGCAAGTTACTCTGTGATACGCCTGGTGTTTCCTACTGTTGTATTGATGTTTGTTCTAGCATAACACTGCAGAAGATTAATTTAAAAAAAAAAAAAAAAAAGCAACAGAACTGAAATGCTTCCTGTTAGAGCGGCAAACCTTGATGCAGTCAGCCACTTAAACACCTGCTTAACTTTCAGCACATTAAAAATTCCGCAAATCATTTATAYCTGTGCCCTAGAGTTTTGCTAATTAGGGAATTAGATAAAAAATAGGGAAAGGATTAGGGAAAAGGAGATTTTTTTTTAATGCTGAAAGAACAGTGACYTTGACTTAAGTGGATTTTTCCTAGTGCATATGCTTTCATACCAAAAGGGTAAAAGAGCACTGTATCAGAACAACTGCATTTTACAGCACCTATGTGCACATATAAATGACTAGAATACATGTGAGATATTGCAGACTCAGAACATGTTTTCTTGGATTCTGACAGTCATTTTTTCCTAGAACTCCAGAGGGCCATATTCAGACTTAAGCATAGGTTGTAACTTCTGTGAAATCAGAATTGTGAACATATACCCGAGGGTGATAAATAGCTAAAATAGATTGGGGAAACTGGAGGGATTTTTTTTTCCTTCCTGTTCACGTGAACAAAGTTTGTTTCTGGTAATAAAACACACAACATTATAAAAATGAATATGGCTCATCATGACTGAACATGCATAGCATAAATGAAGCTGCAATCTCTGAAAAATAAAACTTAATTGGTATGCAGCAGGTACATCTCCAACATGAGGGGCTCCCTTTGTAGAATGTATTTATTGTGTGTGGCTGGCTATCTGCATTCTGGCGCAGTTCCCTGTAGTAAAGCCACTGACCACATTACTATTTGCAAACACAGTGTTCACTCAAGTGGTACTAAATAGAGAAGAGGTGGGGCAAGTAGAGCTTTAAAAAGAAAGATGAGTCCCTCCAAGTGTGCATGCAGAGAGCAACTACRTTTTGGAGTGGGACGGCACCTGGAGATCTCGCTTGCTGTACTCCACTGAGGGCTTTGGTGAACAGTGTTTCAGTTTCTTGTATTTAAGATTTGAACAGCAGCCTTGCTGGCTCCAAGGAAATTTGCAGTGATCTTTGCAAGCTCTGCTTTTAAGCTGTGTTAAATTGGTGGGAAGAGAGTCGGGCATTTCATGGTTGGCGTCCAAAAAAAAAAAAAAAAAAAAAAAAAAGAGAGCGAGACAGAGAAAACGACATGTGTGGGGAAGAAACCCCTCAGGAGTTTCTTCAAGGTTGCAGTCAGGCACAGTAAGGACTAAAGTGTCAAGAAAAGAAAGACAAAGATAAAACTTCGTATTGTCTTAATATGTCTGAGTATAAAGTAGGATTTTGCAGAAATCTTTTGGAATTACACATGCTCCTTCTGTCCTGGATATGACTGAATACAAGCCTGTTCTCCTCTAACAATAGTTCAAAAAACTCAAGATTATGTTTCTCTTCCTTGTTGCCTTTTTGCCGGTATTTTTTAAAATTGGTTTTGTCAGCCTTTCAGCTCTGCAGCACTGGAACTGTCCTAATGGATACAGACGGGAGACTGAAAACTCCACTTGTATAGGTAAGTGACTATTCGCAGTTATGAAAACAGTATTTGTGCTCTGTTAATTGAGCTGTATATTTTTAAAGATTTATTTTTTGCAGAGGTTGTGTGCTCTACTGGCACACAAACTTTTTGATATCACTTGCTGCTTAGAACCAATAGAGCTCATTTTATTTAGTAGCTTATCATTCAAAAAATCAGTCTTTTATCAGTTTAATTATCAGAAAGCAGGATTAGGGTGATTTAAAAAAAAATCTGAACAGTTCAGTGGTTACCAAAATTAATTCCTTCAGTTTAGTTACTCTATCTTCAGTGCATGTGCATTCACATATCTGTGCTACTATATCTGTGTAATTTATGTATGGATCTATTTATATATGCATATTATATATATATGCATTTGGAAGGAATAGATAGYTAATACATCTCATACAAATACATGAATTGTGTTGTATAAGGTAGTACTAAAATGTGGATGAAATGTATGACACTAATATTACTATAATAATCTCAAGTGATTTGGAACATTTGAAAAGCAGATTAATCTTTAACAAGTGTAAGACAAAGAATGACAGAACCCTTCTCACCACTCTGATACTTTGAAATTCTTTTTCTTTTATTTTGTTATTACTTTTATTATCTTTAGAAAGGCACAGCCAGCAAAGTACTGGCTTTTGTGTTAAGAAATTCTCTGTAAGGTTTCAAGCAAACAGACCTAATGCCTAGAGTTAAGCTTTTGCCATAGTTTGCTTGGGTTTCAAAGCTCTGACTCAGTTCTTGACATGATTCCAGTGATTTAATAGCAGGTGCCTCTGTGCATTCTGCCAAGTAATACCAGCCTGCAAGCAGTGTGCATATTAAATGTTCTGGTATTCAGTGAGGAGGAGCAAGGCCTTTTGTGTACAAATGATAAACTTGATTGAAGGTTTATCAGAGATCCAAAGACAGCCAGGGTACTTCTGTGGTGATGCTTCCACAGGAACGAAGAGCACAATTCTGAGGCGCTTCTGCATGCTCTGCCCTCTCAGTGTGCTTCCCTTCGCACTCCCGGGCATTCCAGAGGGCACGAATGGGATTCCCGCTGTGTGAGCCTAAACCAGTGGGTGCAGCCCGGGAGGGAGGGCACCTGGCCTCCCCACTGCTAGCTAGTGGGCACTCAGCCTGGAGGTAGGTCTGTGTACACCATGCCTAGGCCTATATGGGTCGCATCCTCAACAGCTGTTGTACTTCACAGATCCTCTTCTGCCGGTCCACGCTATTTGCTAATGTTAACCTAGCTTCTTTGGGTTAATTAGGAAGTATATTAGTTACAGCTTATTCATTACTGCATTGCCCAGTTGAGACCTCACTTTTAACAAGGCAGTCATACTGAAATGAATGTGATTGCTTGGCTATTTTTTGGTGGGTCAAAATCCACTCTAAATATCATTGAAGGTTAGAATGCCATGGAGATGCATTCATTCTTCTGTTTCAGGCAACTCATTTTGCACACTGACATGTGTTGTTTTCTCATTAATACAGTCAGGAATTGTCCTTCATTGTCTTTTCTGTTAAAAAGTAGATTTACTCTCTTGTACTAGGTCAAGTAAAGCAAACTGGATTGCTGGTAGCTCAGGAAACTGAAATATTAATWGAAATAGTGTTTTCTCTAACAGCTGAACTTTCTATGACTTAGTCTGAACAAAGATCCTATTTTACCTTGTTTAGCACAGAATAAACAAACACCRAAAAGATATGCTACAGTATCTTTTTAATTAGAGGCCACTGGATTGCAGAGGAGAACGCACAGGTAGAATTTTGAGATGAAATACAGGACTAAGGGATGCTCTGATGGATTGCATTTCCCCTGGTCTTTGCCATGTGTGACTAGAAATCTGGATGTATGAAATTCTAGTGTATTAATTATGTGAGAGGGTGCAGTGGAAGCAAGTGGTAGGAAGCTGGGGTCAGACTTTGAAGGTAATAATGGACGTAGAAATGATGAGTGGGAGACATGACTCATATCAGAGAACTGTGAACAATGAGAGCAAGCTCAACTGTGGCTTGGCCACCATCCTTGGTGAGCTGTAATAAATATACCAATTGTAAAATGTTCTTTATTGTCTGTGCCTGTGGTGGCACCCTGCCAGCCACAAGGCCTGTCCTGAATTGAAGAGGTGTTGGCTGTCTTTTAGAGAGCTGCCACAAAAGATACTTACTGGCTTTGCTAGATTGGTTTCCCATCCGGTGACTAGAGATGAAGACCTTACATGGCTTAGGATCTTATTTCTTAATTAGTTCCTTTTATTTCTAGGGATATTCAAAGATCAAAAGTTGCCTCAACAAGAGGAAGAATAATGTAATCCAACCCTAAATGTTTCACATAATTTTATGCAGTTATTTTAAGAGAGATTTTTTGAATCCAACTTGATATGCCAAGAGGGGATAAGTGTTAGAGGCAACTATGTATCCCAGAACAGCACAATTTATCAGAGACAAAATATGGGAGAACAGGTCATGAGGTAAAAATAAAGGTAGTCTGGTACCTGAACACATCTATTTATCTGCAAGTAATGATATAACTGAAAGCATTTCTGCACTTGCACTGACATTGCCATCTTGTTTTAGTATATATATTTTTTAAGTTTTTAGTGTCAGGTCTGGGGACTAAGTTTCCCTAAAAAWTTTTTTTTTCATAGACTTTAGTGAATATGCAAAAATACATCTAAAGGAAAAATGATCTTGGCCACACAGGAGTTATTGTTCCCCCTAAAAATAAACACGTATGAACACTCTTGGGTCTTGGGAGACATTTGTTTTTGTTGTTGTTGTTGATGATGTTTTCTGTAGTGGTTTTTTTTTGATTGGTTGGTTGTGTGGGTTTTTTTTTTTTTTTTCTGTAGACAAACAAGGGTCACCAAGGAATGGGCTTTAGTTTTATGGCTATTAGGATTGATTGACTGTGCCCTCCCCAAGTACTCCTGTTACAATACCACTTTTCATACTCCTTTGGGGTTTAGATCCTTTTCCTGATAGAAGGCAAGACACTTTCTGATGTGATACTGTTTATCCCAAGAAGCCTCTGTTGAAGTTTCTTGCATTATCCAATTTAAGACTGGTCATTAGTCTGTTTGTCTTAGGCCACCCTAAAAAGATATTACTGATGTTCTAGATCCTATATGGATCTAGATATGAATGGAAGTGTACTTTGGCTTCAGGGCTTACTTTGAGTACTCACTTTCTGAGTTTTAAAGATGAAGGAAGATGATTGTTTAAAAACAGATTCACAATATTGAAGATTTTTTTTAAGAAGGAAAAGCAAATCCTGCATTATTAAAGTTATATCACAGGGATTCCTAAATTCCTGTCACGTTGATGCTAATTCTGATGTTGACTAGTGAACCTTTTTTTGCTTCTTTAGGACTAGCATGGTACATGGTCCACAAGATGACGATGGCACTTGGAATGGCTGTCTTGGTCAGATTTTTCTTTTTGTATCTCAAGCTTTTCCTTTCTTGCTCTTCACAACTGGCCAGTYATGGAGCACTGGTGAGGTGGAATACTAAGTTACTCTTGTTTGAATTACAATTTTTATAATTCCCCTTCATTAGATAAATTGTGGTCCATACAGCCTTCTGAAGACACACAGTTGGAATTTTTAATGTATTCTGAAAAATAATCAACCTAATTCATATCAGCAGAAGATTAAAAAAGATATCATAGCTTATTGAGATCTTTTTGCCATTTTTCTTCAAGATGTCTAGAAGTGGTTTCTGAGCTTGATTTGAGATCTAGCTTTTATATTTTGAGGAACTTTTTTTTTTTTTGGTTCTACTAAGTCATGTTGTTGGTGTGCTGTTACAGCTGTGCCTCTGGACTGGAAAAGTGCAGGAACTGATAACCAACTTATTTACATTGTATTTCTTATTGTACTATCTGAGAACTTCACAGCCTCTATACTCTCAAAAATTATGAAAGATCTGGTTGTACTTCAGTGCTCATTTAAAAACTGGGGAGCTGAGGTAATGATAAACTTGCACTTCTTCAGTTCCTCAGAGATATGTCAGCTCTTTTGTTGTGACTTACTGATAAGTGGAGTGTTTCTTCTACTTGTTACTATCTCCTATTCTTGAGCTTATGTTTTTAAGAGAATAGATAAAGTGTACGAGCTATTTACTTTCTAAACTAGATGAAATTGATTAATCTTGTTGATATGATTATGATGGTGACTGGATATAGAAGACTGAATTCATCTGTAGTCTAACTCTACAATAACCAAATTTGAGTTATGTTATATGAGTGTGTCCCTCCGTATATATTTTATCTATATAATCTATATATTTAGATATAATCTGTATGTTTAGGATATTAAGGAAGGGCCCATTCTGAGTTACTGTGTTTTCTCTGTATCCCTGCCAGGCATACTAATCTTCCACCTTCTGAGATCAGAGCATTTCTCAGGACTCTCAGTAAAGTGGCATATTTGTATGCAAAATCATTGAGAGCTGCCAACATCATGATGACACGATTCATCGTTTTTGCCAATTCTCAAGGCTTTTTTTACATAAAGAAGCCTTTGAGAGCTGAGCAGAATCTCATTCTTCCATTCAGGGCTGGCTGTCAGGGCACTGCAGACAGCTTTTGTGTCCACTAAGCCGATTTCTTTCACGGGGTGAAGTTCCCACTGGGGAAAGTGGTTGCCAGGATACGTAATGGAGCTGCAGCGGGATGCAGCCGGCTTTGCCGAGGCCTAACGAGTGCAGGTGAACGCACTCTTGCTTACACCTGATGGATCGTCTGGGATCCAGTTCTCCTTGGCTTTCAGAAAACAGCTCTTGGGGATTTTTCTGACTGACCTTTACAAAAAGGAGAGCTCATAGGTCCCTCTTCCATTGTTTGTGCCCTGAACAGAGTGCTCACAGAGCCCCAGCGTATTTAACAGTAGCTCAGTGTCTGTTGGCACTTCCTGTGTACGGCGGGGTTGGCCGTTCCGCGGTGGCCAAGCAGCTTGTGCTGTGCCTCTGAGCTTTTGTAGGGCAAGTATTCTTGAACTGTATCCTTTTCTCAGCTAGGAGAATTGTTCGCTTTTCAGAGTGGGAGAGATTTTCTTTACTGTGTGAACTTTGGTAACGTTCAAGTTGGCACTTTTATGCTATATGGAGATTTTAAAAGCATATAAGGAAGCTATGGGACACCAGGGATCTGCTTCCTTTCCCTAACCTGATAGGTCAGAAGTGATAAGTTCCTTTCAAAGTACTGTAGTAAGCTGATCAAATTACTAGTTTGTTATAATTAGGTGCCATTTCTGGACTTCTTTGAACTAGATGGTTATTCAGCTAATGCTCACAGACCTCCCAAAGCCTTGTCCTGATTTGCACATCATTCAAATACTGAGTTGCCCAAGGAGTTCTTCTTAGTTCTTCTTGTCTTGATCAGGAATACATACATATACATATATATATATATATATATATACATATATATATATATGTATTATTATTATTATTATTATTATTCTGTTTTGTGGTAAGTTCTTTGTTTTCATAGCTACTGCCTCAAATCTAGTATGCACCATAAATGCCACAATTATTTTTTTTATTAATAAAGGCCCTGGGCAAATACACCTTTTAAAAGTCATTTTTTCTAATTAATTTGTTTGTTGCCTTGGATGAGTGTTTGGCTTAGGATTGTTTCTTTTAGAATATGATGTTCTTAATTCATCTTATATGTTTTTGAGGCTTGACTGAATTCAAAATATTAGAGTGGGAGTGCTTTGACAGTTGTGTGTTTTGCAAATCCTGGTGATTTAGTTGCAAAATTGTTATGGTGGAATGAGGAACAGTGATAGAACGAAGCAGACATGGGCAGAGGTAATGAGAGTGTCATAACTGCATAGCAAAGRATAATGCAAATACAGATGCAGAGTAGTGGACAAGTCCTTTCCTTGTTTTGGGGCACTTTGTGACCTTTTGTGTAGAGTGCCTACTCAATTATGAGCTTTCTGTGTCCAGGCTTATCTTTCTGTCCTCTCTTGCTTTTGCTAACAGAATTATCCTGATTCAAAATATTTTTCAGATATTGATGAATGTCTTGAAGGAGGTTTGGGAACTTGTGGCCAAAGCTGTGTCAATGTTCCAGGGTCCTATWTCTGCTCCTGTTTGCCTGGCTATACCTTGGATACAGACAAATGGTCTTGCTATGTGAAAGGTAAGTTCATTTTCTAACAACTAAAAAAGAGCTTTAGAGTTTTAWTTAGCGGTTCACATGATTTTCAAAGTGAATCATGCCTGTCTCTTCCCTATTCACAATGCTGAGTTAATTCAGCTMCTGGAAAGTGGAGTGATTCTTTGCTTTGTTCACTGAAAAACTGCCTCTTCTAGTGTGCAAATAATTGGCAAGGAGAAAAGCAGATATCACAGAAGAATGACGAGGAGAAAGGAAAGTATGTTGGGAGAAAGATGAGTGAACATATTGGGGAAAAAAAAGAAAACAAAACCTTAGCATAGCTGCTTCCTCTGAGAGGAATAAACAGTATTGTAACTCTAAATTCTTTTATTCTGTCCTTACTACTTGAAGAAAAGAAAGCTACTGCAGATTTTGCTCCATTGGCACTGCGTAAGATTTTGCTCCCTTTGCCTCTTTCAGTCTGTTGGCAGTTACCTCTTTTGAAGACAAGGCTCTGAAGTGCTGGACAGGAAGGCCTTATTTTTGTTTTGGTCTTAGTAAATACAAATGCTACTGTGACTTCTTTCTCTCTCCCTTTGCCCTAAATTGTCAAATCAATTTTTTTTTAACACATRTTTTGCATTTAAGCTTTAAAATCTTTTAGCTCCTCTGAGAGGAAAATATGAACAGTTATAGCTTTTGAATAACTTTGGTTTTCTTTARAATATGAGGTGGTTGTGCTCTGAGGTTTAGCTCTTACCTCTCCATTTTGATTTCTTGCATGTCCAGTTTGAGTTTCTCCAACTCCCTCTCAGTCAAGGAGTTCAGGTTTTCTTTTTGTGATCATTACGTTCTTGGGTCTCTCTTTAATGTGAAGAGGTAAAATGGCAGGGTATGTTTGTGACTTAAGAAGCAGGGGATGCTCTGAAGCCTTTGGACCCATGAACATGGGGTCACAGGATCCCRATGGAAAACTTTGAGTTTGAGAAGGGCAGAACCAAGTGTATATACATTGATTGTCAAGTAATTGGTAAAATGTAAGTGGCTGCCAAATTCCTGAGATGAATCAGCCTTGCTATAGTTTGGTGTTCATTTGCCATCTACGTAAAACAAATCTTGATAGTTTAAGTATTCTCACATARTGGTATTCAGTGGAAACAGCAGCAGAAAAAGATGTCATTAGCATCCTAGAAACAGCTGTTGTAACTGGGTAATACCTTGACAAGTCCAAACTGGACTTTAGATGGTTAGGTCCTGAATGTTTGCTATGACTAGTAAAATACTAATGAGAATTTAATGTGGCAAAAGTACCATGTATATCTATTTTTTTTTTCTCCACACCAGACCCTGCACCTTTCTTACTTTTCAGCCGTGAAAATGCCATCTTCAGAATTGACACAGAAGGGACAAATCATGAAAGGCTGGTTGCTGATACTGGTCAGTCCACACTTGTAGACTTCCATTATGCAGAAGAGAAAGTGTATTGGGTTGACTCTGAAAGGCGTCTTCTGCAAAGGATTCACCTGAATGGCACGAAACAAGAGGTAAGGCAGTCAGTTCTCTGCASATCCCCAGGTTGCTGAATATTATACCTCTACTGTGAAACAATCTTGTTCATTGCCTGGCACTTGATAATTTAAGTAGTGTTTCCTGTTGTGATAGTTCTGGTAAGTGCCAGGGAGGCCTGAGTCTGTGCTGTTTTACTGACTTTCAGAGTGAATGGAGTTAAAGATGAAGAGAAAAAATTTAGACAAACCAAAGCTTTGAAGACAATAATATGTTTTAAATTAATCACTGGCATTATGGAAGTTCATCTTCCAGAGTACTGTAACTCAAAACTGGCACAAATGGTATGAGGAGAATGTACTTGAGTTCCTACTCTCTCTCTAACTCAAGCCTTTTATTGGTTTCTATGGTTGCCCAAATGCTTCTTTCAGTACTGCACTTTTTGTTCAGAAAAAGTTGTACAGTTCATTGCATCTGGCTGATTAAGAAGGGAAGACAGGATGTTGTGGCTGAGAGCCTTTTTTTGYTTGAGAGAGATTGCCAGGATTCCTGTTTCCATGAAGAGGTGATGTATTTCACAATGACTTTTAAGGATCAGGGTCCAGCAGCAGTGAGCCAGGTAGTCTTCTCTCTGTAACAGTACAGATCTAGGTATTTCATAGTGTGTCAAATACAGCACATGTTTCTAGCTGAAAGAGCAGTCCCTTATTTTCTCTGGAGAACATTTTCCCTCTCCGAGGTGGTCAGACAGTTCAGAGGATGTAGGTGCAATACAAAGATAAGAAAGAATGTTTCTGTGGGTCTGAAAAAAAAAGGAATAAATGAAATATCATGGTGGTTCATGTAATGCAATTCACATTCGGGGCAGTATGCGGGATGCTTTTTGTTATCAACTTCTTTTGTTTACAGAGACTGTGTTACATAGATAAAGGTGTTTCAGCATTTGCTATTGACTGGATACATCAAGATATTCTTTGGGCCAATAAACAGAAAGCAATCATTGAAGTGACGGACACAAATGGGAAAAAACGCCGTGTTCTTCTACGAGATGCTGGTCGTCCAACAAGGATAGCCATKGATGCTGAGCAAAGGTAATTTTAACTAGGTTAGTAATTTCATTAAAACAGACTATAAATCGTGTTGCAACTGTGATTTATCATCTACAGGATTAGTCCGTACACACTGTGTTTTCTATAATCCAGTAATTCCTTGAACTTCGACCAGGCAGGATAAAAAGTTAATAACCACATAGGAAATAGAGAAATGTGACTCTAAAAGATAGTGACATTTTAGAGTAGCAGGAAAGACACTTGGAACAGCAGAGAGTGTCCTTGCAAGTCATGTGAGAGCCCTGTACTCCAAACCTGACATGCCTGGAAAACAGATTGATATATATTCTGAAGAATTCTAAACTTAGTGTTGCTCCTGTTCCCTTTGTCTCTCAGTTGATATGTACTGGTTCTGAGCCTGTTGTTTCTACTCTGTATCACAAGTAATTTGTCTATTTTAAAGATGCTTCTTTGAACTCCAAGACATTCACACTCAGCCCCTGCTCACCTGAAAGATTTGGCCTCCTCAGAAGTTATTGGTAGAGATTGYCAGGGCAGGGTCTCCATGCTGATTTATCTTGGGGTTTATCTCTTCCATTCAAGATTTCAAAAATAAAAGTTGAGGAGGTGTTTTCATTTGGAAAACTTAATTTGCAGTTAAGTCACTCAGAGTGCTGTGGAAGTATGCAATATTAAGTCTTATGAGCCCTGTTCCTGTGCATTTATGCATAAACCAACTCCCTGATGCATTACTAGTATTTTTTAGAGTGGGATAGATTTTCAAGATTTCCGATCTGCTCTTGAAAGTCATATTTACCAGTTTTGGAAATTGTAACAAGTCCTCAAGAAGTAGATTACAGTGGTATTACAGGAACATATTTGGTGAATTTGTACTAAACCTTGTGGACAAACTGAAATGCATATATTCACCTGAGTGTGTGTCAATCACTGAGTATTAAAGCTGAACACAGAGATTTAAAGAGAGGTAAGTTAGCTAGTCATAAACTGTAAAAAAAAAAAGTAGAGTCCAGACAATCTCACGTAATTTTTACRTCTTGGTGCATTTTGCTTGTAGGAAAATTCTGAGAGCTATGTATGTGAAGTGAATTAAGACAGATGTAATGCCACAAGCGTAAATATCCACCAAGTCTGATACAAACAATGTATTCTCTCCGATGTGGGCAACTCRCACAAATAACAGAGACTCGTGTGATATCTTAGAAACTGTTTTTCTCAAAAGATATGTCTGTTTAATAGTGATAAGATTACTTTAATATTAACATAATTATCTCTGTAAGATTGATTTGTTTTCTGAATGGAGTTTAGATATGTTGAAAGACCAGGGTTAAGAATTAGGAGCAGAGCAAATATAGTAAAGGCTGTATTCCTCTTTGCTCATATTAGAGCCTGTCATCCATTGACTTGCACTGAAACTGTAATCACATTTGTTTCTTACCCTCCCTGTTTGTAAAAKGTGAATTCTAGTGTCTGTTTAAACTTACAGATTCTGTAAAGATTCTTAAAGAACCGGTGTTATAGAAATGTCAGCAATTATTAATCAAGTGTTCAAACATTTAAGTAGAAAATTTGATGGACCTCCTTGAAACTTCTTTTTACCTATATATTAAAAACTATAATAACTGCAATAGAGTAGAAGAGCCATAAGGAGGGGGCTGATTCTTCCTTGGTTAGTACAGCCCTTTGCTAGTGAGATCTAATCCATTTTAAGGCCTGTAATATATGACTACAGTAAAAACAACGTAGCTGGCTATATGCTACGTTGGTTTGTACAGTTAGATCTCAAAATTTTGTGGAAACAAGTCAAAATGTTAATGCTTTTTGGAATTTGTGTGTATAAGTGTAAGAAACAAAAAAAAATCTTTAAACTCAATTTAAAAAGAATTAAAGGAATTTTGGGAGAACTGCTGTTAATCTTAGTCACATCAGTAAATTTAGGTTCTGATCCATGAATAACTTCATATATAAGTAGTTTGAATGCATGATTGTTTTTGGTGTTGGAACTTTATTTTGACTGTGCCTTACTTTAATGGCAGCATAATCTGGCTCCTTCAAGCAGCAGGGAGGCAGAAAGGAATGGCAGCAATAATAGAAATTGTATTTTAAAGTCAAGTACCACTGAGTATTGCACTAAAATTTTTGGAGATAGATTACTCCCCATAACCAAAACATATGCAGAGTGTAATGCAGATCTGCCTCACAAATGTGCCCTTTTCCAAGTCTGCTGGATTCCCTGGCAGATTTGGGAAGTTGTTCCAGTTTCCTTTTCTGTCTGCATGGCTGGACAAAGCAGATACAGAGACAATAGGACTTTGCAGTTAAGCTGAACTGATTCCTTCTTGACCTATTTGAGATAAATTTCTAGGATCTCACTGCTTTCTAAACTGAGCTGTTCTGTCCATAATAGAAACATGTTTTGTTACAAAACATGTAAACATGTTTTGAAACATGTTTAAAATAAGAACACAATTGTAGTAAAATTTTAGTGGTAACATCGCTTCTGTTAAACAAACAAAACTTTGTTGCAGAAATTACTTCTARTCTTAAGAGTTCTATTAAGGGGAGATGTATACAGGGTTTTCCTTAAATAGGTTAGCATGTATTAAGAAAGTTCTTGGCTTTATTAGTAGTTGTTATTCTGGAATCACTGTAATAAAAAAGAAAAAGAAAAATTCTGTATACAGGAGCAGGTAAACAAGGAATGTACAGCAATGCAGCAATGGCTTGTTTGTTTATTTATTTATTTATTTATTTATTTTGTTCTGCAGGGTATTATTTTGGTCTTCAGATGATAGTGTTTCCAGCATATACCGAGTATCCCTTGATGGAAATGGCAAGAGAAATATTTTAAGAACCACAGGAAAAATAAATGCCATCTCTCTGGATTTGATTGACCTAAGGCTCTACTGGATACAACATGACCATGAGAAAGAAATTTCCCATATTGGATCATGTGATTATGATGGTGGGGCTGTTCGCTTGCTCAAGAACTCTTTTCGGTGAGTTTTTCAGAGCGGGTCAGAAATAAAGTAGTGACTTTCAGGAGAGAGAGTTAYGGTCACCTCCTTCTGTTTATTTTTTTCTGTTCATAACATACTAGTGAGTATTAAGTACAGCAAAAATGGCCTGTCACCATATATTTAAAACTACCAACAGAAAAATGAAAAGTCAGAAATTCTCTTCTGTGCTGTAGGGATAATACTGCTGTTCAGTAGTCTTCATCTTCTAAGCTTTAAGCAAATGATAACTGCTTAATCAGGAATCCCCTCTGAGTATTTGTTAGTGGCTTTTTTTCTGCAGTTAGAGAAGCCCAAAACAAAGAGATTAAATGATTTGTCCAAGGTCAAAGTGGGTGAGCTCAAGTGTCTGAGCTGTGCTCAAGAGTCTGAGCTAGGTCAGATCTTTCCTGTCCTCCTCTAAAMTTGTCCTTCTCAGCTGCTGACTGTGAAGGCTTGGATAACCCCCAGGGCTCAGTCTCTCCGGCAAACCTGAGCAAAGCTCAGGGATCTCTCCTATGGAACCACCTCATTCCACCCTGTTCCCTGGCCTGGACTGTGCACAGCTCTGCGCCTGTTAGGTCTGTGTCCACTTGAGTGCCTTTAACCTCTGGCCTTGGTGCTTTGTGGTGGTACAGATGCTCTGTGCCAGGCATGTTTTCAGAAGAAAGCTGCCACGTGCCGCTGCAAAGTTTACTGCAAAGCTGAGGTTTCTCTCTATTTCCTGGCAATAGCCAGTTGCCTGGATTTTCTCCTCTCCTTTCTCCTTTGAGTTGACTGGCATTTCCTGGGCATCAGCACCTTTCCTGATTATATGGATCATCCTTTTTCCACCTACAATATGCTGTGGAATATGGAGGGTAAAAATCTTGCCTTCAATACATTTTCTGCCTCSTCTCATATCAACACTGGACCCTTTGATGTTTCCTGCTGGCTGCTATAATGGATGAGAAAATAGGAGCTAATTCATGCAGCAGGGAAAGCTGTAAGGTGGATTTTAAGTACACCCTCTCTGCTCCCCTATTTCTTGCTAGGCAGAGGCTTCAGAAAAGGCACTGGAACCTGGGAAATGAGGGACTTAACTGTCCTAGATCCTTCAACAAGGCAACATCCATTTTAGTTCCTGGATTCAACAGAAGCAGGGCAATACCTAGGTTTTCTCTCTGAGTTGAGTCAGTCCTGAACAACCGGCCATGTAACTTGTAAGTAATGTTCATGGTTTTGCAAGTGGTTCTTACAGATTTGCAGGATTCTGGATGCTGTATTATTTGGGGATATCTGTGGCATCTCCATTTACTTGCTCATATATAAAATTATGTAGAACAATTTAAAAAAGGATATTTACCATGTATTTGACTGTACTTGAACTAGATGTTTACAAATGTATGAGTAGGTGTATCRGGATCCAATAGTGTACCACTTTGTGTTTCTGTTTGTTACAGACATCAATTACTTGGTATGTCTGTCTTTGCTGACCACTTGTACTACTCAAAGGCGAACTCTGGTATGATATGGAGAGCCAACAAGTATACTGGAAAAGTTGTAGTCACAATTAGCCTGAAACGATCATTTTTTCCACCAGTGGAGATAAAAGTGGTGCATCCATTCAAACAGCCAGGTGCAAGAGAAGATTCTCAGGATTTTGGTAAGTAAAGTGCACTGATACAGTTAAATGTGAGAGAGTCATAATGTAATATACTCTGATCTTTTTGGATTTTTTTTTTTTCAGCAAAAATCCTGAATAGGGGAAATAGTCTTCAAAGAGACTTTGCCCTTTAAATGCTTACAGCTGTTGACATGCAGAAGAGAAAGTGCTTTTGGAGATAAAGCTTATACTTTTGAGCACAAGGAGTCTTCATTCATGTAATGTTTTGTACTTCCTTCAAGGGAAAAAAAATCACCTTGGCAATAAGAGCATTTTTCTCATACCACACATTTCTTTTGGTCACACAGAGGACCCAGGGAAGGATTCATTTGTCATGTAGACAGTGACCTGTCCAAACACAACTCAAGGGTGTTGCAGTGAGATTTTAAAAAACCTGAGTAATGTCTCATGAAGGTTGCTTGGACATTGTCAGACACCCTGTCTGCGTATGCATGAGGATGGAGAAGGAGAAACAGTGACCAAGAAAGGGGCTACTAGTTGTGTTACTTGTTTTCACCCCACAGGATTATTTAACATAATGCTCATTGACTGTGGGTGCTTGAGATTTATTTTCTCAGAAGTTTTAACTCCCTTTGTCCCACAGAACATGCTGCTTTTCAATACTTCCCTCTCTAGGAGAAGTAGTTTCCTCTCTCCCTTTCCCTTTTTCTTGATAAATAAAAACCACTAATGTTTTAAAATGCCTTATAATGYCTACCACTTTATTTTTAATTACTTCTCTTTTAAAAGTGTAACAATAAGTGGTATCAGCAGTAGCATTTTTTATTCCAAATACCTCTTAAGCTTAAAATGCTTAATCCAGATGAACCTTTTGGACCTTGCATGTACAATATGATTTTAGAGAAGAATTAATCGGTTTGATGCAAGTAAGTACGAACGTGTTGCTTTCAGGCAAACAGAAATCTCTGTCCAGGAAATTAATTCATTTATTTGTTTATGTGATGTGTCATTTTCTTAATTGGCCAGCTTCTTTACTGTTGCGGGTAGTAGAAGATTGAGTGTTGAACTTAAATATTATGCTGTTCTCCATTTCTTGGGATTCAAAGGGTGAATTGGAAATAACCCAAGAATTTGTTCACGTACAAATATATTCTCTGTCCGTATGAGCCCATTATTTCCTTTATGTTACACAGGCAACACAGGACAAAGAGTTGTGTGTGGGTGGCTGCATACACATTCAGTAGCAGCAGTTCATCTATTCTTAGCTTGGAAAAGGGGCAAGAAATCCCAGAAGAAGATTAGGAAGATGAAAACCAAAATAGTAGTTTGAGAGACCAAAGTAAAACTTGAAGTGTTGCGTATCTGCAAAAGCACAAGCTGTAAAAGATAGCTGGGCACAGATACAAAGCTACAAATCCTTCCCGTAAAAACAAAAACAAAAACAAGTTACTTTAATACATGCTTGCCTTTTCTTGTGAAAAAAAGTCAGAGGGCTAAGGGATATATGTTTGGTATACTTTTCTGTTTCCTTTGAAGAAACTTTGAATATATCTTTTATCTCTTGGGACGTCAGAAATGTTCTGACTTCTTGGGACATGAGGTTATAAACAAAGACATATAATACAAGCATTTCCAATTATCAGGAACCCAGGATCCACCTCAGTAGAAACTCTAAACTGCTAATATTTTTTGTCTACATGAAGTATATTGTAAGGATCTTATATTCTATCTAGTTATGTTGTACTACTTTGTCTTAATATTTCCACCCTTGATACTTTTTTCTCTTTTTTTTTACATTTTTTTTACATTTTTTTACATTTTTTACATTTTTTTTCTCTTTTTCTCCCTTTTCTCTCTTCTTTTTTCACCCTTTATCTCTTACTCTGTTTTTCTCCTTTTCTTCTCTCCTTCCTTCTTTTCTGTCTTGTGCTCTTGAAGCATTTGATTGAGCCTGGTAACATAGAATGGTATGCTGCTTGGGCTACATGGTAAGCCTGCTATATGGAGCTTCCATGTGAACAGAAGTAGAGCAAAGGATCAGGAAGATAGAAGAATCCTTGTTAGTTCTTGTCTTCCTGCTTCTTGTTTGAATCTTCTGAAGATCCTKCCATATTCACTATAGGCCAAAAATACCTGCCAAAACCAAGGCACCCCCTGCTCCGGGTTTCCTCTAGATCTGCTGATCTGTCTTGTGCTGACAAGGAACTAGAAATAACCTATTCCTACTCCTCCAARTACTTTTGTTTTTATTTTATTGACTTTTTTTTGCCCGATTTTACTAATAGAAAATTATAGGAAATTTTATTTCCTCAGGTTGAGCAAATACCTGTTATGGAGGAGATGTGTCACTGAGCAAAGATCTGTTCAAAGTAGTTGCATTATGTCTGTTCTTCCAGAAAAAGTATCCTGTGATCTGAACAAAGAAAAGTGCAGAAGGAGAATCTGCAGGCCAGACTCCAGGACTCATCGATGTAAATGTCCTAGTGGCTTTATTTTGAGTCGAAATAGACAGTTTTGTGAAGGTAATATATATATAACTCTTCTGCCTGCCTAAGTCTATTACATGACAAAGCTTCTCATGCTCTTCTGTTACAGTTACATTTTGAGTATGACAAAAACCTCTGATATATGAAAAATTCCAATTGTCCTTTTGGTTTTGTGTCCTTCCAGATTCTTATATAGTCTTAGGAGAAGACCTATTGAAGTGTCACAGCAAGTGCTGCTCCTGTGAGGAAATGCTGATCTCCAGAGTAGAGGAGCTTTAGATAAATAGGGCTGAAAAATTTGACCCTGAAAAATAAAAACAAATAGCACTACCAAAGGTGAAGTGTTGAAAAATTTTGCAACAAGACAACTGTCTCAAGTCCCACTTTCAAAAATGGCTTGAATTTTGAACTTGAAAATGTTTCAGTATGAATTAAAAAAATATAATATGATTTACAGTGAACATAACACGTTAGAAGCATCCTTTTTCCACTACAGGACCAGATTTGCAAAGTCATAAGGCACTGAAAGATAAAAGCTTTTAGCTTTCACAGAAGTGCATAAGCAAAGCAGCAACCCAGTTCTCAGAAAACCAACTGCAAACGCTTTCCAAACTGGAAATTCTATGCCACTTCTTTGTTTTAAGAATATACTTGAGTGATGTTGAAGCCAGATTTTAAAGAAGTTTTTGTTTGAAGAAAATATTTAATGGGATTTTGTGGGGAGTGGGAAGGGCTTCACACAAGATGCCATTGGAATCTGTATGGAGAGGCAAATTTTTGAAAGCCCACTAGGTGCCTGTGCTGGATACATACAGCTTGAAGAATGAAAATTTCTTAGYCTAAGTTTTGTCAGTATAATTATAAGCAATTGCCTTTACTAGAAGTTTTCTAACACTTTTGAAGATACTGTGAAAATTGGCCTTTATTATTTATTAGCACCACTATTTTTTTTTTCAAAAAATGCCAGAAAAAGGGAAGACTGGTAGTTTGTTTTATTAATCTAGTTTTCTGACATTGGCTGATGACCTTGTTCTGACACAGTGCTTTTCTTGGCAGATATCAACGAATGTGGCTTTTGGAATCATGGCTGCACTTTGGGWTGTGTGAACATCCCTGGTTCCTATTACTGCACCTGCCCGAGAGGTTTTGTTTTGCTGCCTGATAGGAAAACATGTCACGGTAAGTATCARTAGCACATAAACACTCCCAGTGTGATACTGGAGAGAGTCCTCGCTTAACACTTCAATCACTGGAAGTCTTGTGTGCTCATTGCTCTCTTCAAATCCCTTATTATGTAAGCAAGATCAGCTTAAACTGAGTGAACCAAATTCAGAGGTCATGTTTAAGGAAGTGTAAGGTACATGTGAGTAGTCAGGTGTGAGCCTCCTGGGAGCAGAACTGAGTCAAGTCTAATGCTTCTGTGTATCTGGTGCAAGGTGCCTGAGTACAGCCCTTATGATGAGTAGTAGCTTGAGGTCATATTCTAGTTATAGTAAGAGTTTTGCTTTTCCTTTGTGCAGCATTGTGTATATTCACCTGATAGCTAAATTAAGCTTTTCTAAACTAAGCCTAGAGCTTAAATTGTGGAATGCATCCAAGTTTTGAGGTCTTGGAGTATTCCCAGTCACTTTCCTGCTTCATAATGAAGTGAAATTTAAACATATACAAGGATTGCTTGACCTTATTTCCAAAGAAAACAAACATTAATATATGCCCCAGAGAGAAATGTCAGTGCATACCACTTGGTTCAGGTCATATTATGGCAGGATAAGGACCTACAGAATATTAAATATCAGTACTAACCTGTATACGCCGCCACAGAGTCTCATAGACTCAGCAAGCTGATTTGATTGTCTATTTTAGGCCTCCAAAAGGCACTTCATGGTTAGTTTAAACTATGTGCATACATTTTGGGTGGCTCAAATTCGGTATAAAATAGAGTTTTAGTTTTTCCAGCCCAGGCTAGGGATGCAGTATGGACACTATAACTCCATAAGCACAACACCAAAGGCAGGTATGTCGCAGTCTATGCAACTTGAGAGACAAGTGCAAGGTGAGAAGCCCACAGGTTCACCAAACATTTTGATGCTAGGTCTTCCAAATCCTAATGAAGCTCTTCAGTTTAAAGCCACAAGTTCTGATCACAGATAAACATGAGATCAGTTTCTTGATCCTGTTTGCTGTGTTTCCAGGGTTAGAACAATCTAGCCCAGAGGCAGTTGCCTTGGAGAAGGAACATTTGCAACAGCTATGCGCCATTTAAACTAGTGTATGCTGCTAATTCAAAGAAGCAGCTGTGGGAAACCTGTATTAATTCCAGTCATCCAGCAGATGTTGCCATATGGCACTGTTGGAGGCATTAATAGATGCAGTACTGCAATACAGAAGCTGGGAGGAGGGAGATCCTGTAAAATTGCATAAAAGAGAAAGAAAATTAAAGAAATATTGAAAGAAAGGTTGACATGGCAACAGTTACAGTAGAAAATAGAGGAAGGATATTGCCAGGTCCTCAGATGGTGTTGCCCTTATACTTTCAAGATTTACCACTAAGGAACTTAATTTTATTTCTGGAAGGTTCACCTTCTATTTCCTTGACTTCTAGTTCTGTTCCCTGGGAGTGTAGGAAAGCGATTCTTCCTCATTCTCTCTATGTTTTTTACTCCTTCTTTAAGTATAACTTCCATGTATTTTTGAAGCCTGACACTTTTTTTCTTTGATGAGATGTAAGGAGGGTTTTCTACATTTCTGGATTTTTTTTTAATAACACTCTTTCATAAAATTTTGGAAAATATAAAGCTAATCACTGTAATGAATCAATGTAACCCTGAAGCAATTTTGACTTTCTTCTTGCTGCAGTTAGGACTGAGTGATTTGTCAGGGAAGTGGGAAACAGAATTATTGTTCTGTCTGCCATTATGTCTTTTTTGCTACCTAAAGAAGTGTCAACATATCTTTGGGGAGGGTGTTATGTTAATGAAATATTTTCTTATCATTTAAGAAAGCTTTTCTTTGAATTTCTGTAGAGCTAATTTCCTGTGTAAGTAACGTCACTGAATGTAGCCATGGTTGCCTTCAGACATCCAAAGGGCCTGTTTGCTTTTGTCCTGAAGGATCTATACTCAAAGGGGATGGCAAAACATGCACAGGCAAGTATTTAACATTTTTCTAGGTCTGATTCGAGTGACTGTCAGGATCTGTCTCTTGGCGCTAAGAAGTGAAGGATGGCATTTTACACTCATTTTGCATAACTGTAAACGATTGTACAAGTGAGTGCTGAGATGAACAATACTCTTCATATTTGATAGGTATTTCTTAACAATAATATCCTATACCTGTAGGTGGAATTCTTCTGTTGTCAGTGCTGCTTGAAGCATCTCACAGATACTGGCTGCAGGAAAGATATCTATAATTTATATTTGGCTGGAATCATAGCAGTGCAAAATTAGGAATTGGGTGAAATCTGATAGTAATTTTATCAGCCTTTGATAAATTGAGCTTTTCCTGGTTCTGGATCACTCTAACTTAAAACATCTGATTGCCCAGAGATGGAATGTTTGCAGCCAGAATCTCTGGAGGTGTTTGAAGCTGGTGTAGCAGATATAACTGCTGTACAGCCCCAAGAGGAAAGAATGGTTTCTTTTCAAAAGAATCAGTGGATTTTGTCAGTTTACCGTCCTAGGGAAAGAATGGCAATTTGTTGCTGCTTTGCATGAAGTGCAGTGTCTGATAAGACACTTTCATTATTTTGTACATTGGGTGAGGTTACCATAAGTGAAAGAGTTCCCTGAAATAATCAACACATGGAAGCAACTTGTGTTGTGAATTTTCAGGAAAAGCTCTAGAATAAGTTGCTGCTAGTTTGCTTTCATTTGCCAGACTTCCCTCAATCTGAGTCCCATCATAAAATCTTACCAGTAATTAGGATACTTTTCATTGCAGAAATCACAGAGCAGATTGTTCATGCTTATATTCTTTGAGATATTTTTCCTTAGAATAACGAAGTTAAAAATTTTAAATTCTCTGTTTAAGGTTGTACATCTCCAGATAATGGTGGCTGCAGTCAGATATGTTCTTCGCTAAGCCCATCCTCCTGGGAGTGTGCTTGTTTCCCTGGATATAAGCTTCAGCAGGACAGGAAGCACTGCACTGCTATAGGTGAGTATGTTGATATCCATCTACATATTGCTGCCAGTAAATAAGCAAAATCATTTTTGAGCTGTTTTTTAAGTGGATAGCATAACTGGGCTATTTTTGCAGTGGTTTTAAGACAATGTTGTGCAGCGGGGAGGTAGTAGTTGTAAATACATCAGAACCACTGCTATGGGTCTCCTTCACAGAAGAGTCAGTCTGTTACCCAACTTCTGCATTTCACTTTGGGATCCTTTGCTCTACTCATCTATCAGCAATATTCAGGTCACTGTATCTTCCGAAAAATGTGGGTGTAGTTTCTACCTAATGTTTCAAAACTAGGGTTGAGGTTGTCTGTAATACAACTGGGCTTAGTTACTGTCTTTATCATGGTGTTTCACAATGATCTTGGGGCAAGATATTGATCTTTAAAACATGTATGCACATTTATCTTTGAATTCAGGTGCAAGTTGGTTTTAGGAGAAAGACATGAATTTCTGCATTAGTATTTTAAGCTTTTTTTAAAGTTTGAAAACTTTTAGTTCAGTAGTAAGAGAGCAAAAAATTTCTCCTGGCAAATGTTTTCTAGACTTCCAAAATATCTTAAGTGATATGTGAAGCTACTTACAATCTACTTGAGAATTAAATCTAGAATCCAAAGGTGAAAGACTGATGCAGTAAAATAAAATACTACTAAGCTCCTTTTTTCCTTATCTGTCTCTTTTGTTAAAATATTTGTTTAGTGTTGGAAGTTGGGAAATGACTTTCAGTCTAGATTTCATATTCTCTTTTTAGCTCTTCCTTTGTTTTACTTTTTGTTTCTGGTTACATGAAAGACATCTCGGTTTGCGTGCATCTCTGTGAATTCACATTTTCAGTCCTTGCTGAGAACTTCCACTGTTCACTAGGTTTGTCTGAGGTAATGGCTGTAGTTATGTGAGAGGGAAATAATTTGACCTGAAAAACATAGAATAGAAATATATATGCCTAAAAGAAACCAAAAAAAAAGGAAGCTTTCAGAGTTTTCCCTTTGCATTAACTAAATATTGCTGATTATATTATTAAAATGGTGAAAAGAACACAGAGAACCAAAGATGATATGCAGTAGCTGTCATTCTCACACTGAGCATGTTAAATAATGATGCAGTATAGAGGTAGTTTTGAACCTAATGGAATTAMATGCAAATTTTCATTAATAGGACCTAAGCCATTTTTGTTATTTGCAAATGGCCAAGATATACGCCGAATCAGTTTTGATGGAACAGATTATGCAAGTTTACTTGACTGGCAGATGGGAATAGTCTTAGCACTGGACTCTGACCCGGTTGAAAATAAGGTAAGGCATTAAAAATGAGAGGATTTTGAAGTGTTGCAAGGACAAATGGATTGAACTTCCATGTGTCTTAACCTTTCTGCTGCGGGTGATCCAGATTACACGTTGTGCTGCTGCTAGTTGCCTGTCCGGGAGCACGGCAGGTACAGGTTGCCAAGCACTAGTTGGAGAGTTTCATCCTTTGCTTACTGATTTAATGTGCTTCATGTGTTGTCATGGCTGACTCACGGAGGAAAAAAAAAAAGTATATCTAAATTCACTTTAGGCCTGAATGCATTTTCAGAGAACTTTTGTGGGGGTGTTTGCGTTCTCCCTTGGGATTTCAATAGCMCTTTATGATTATTTTTTCCTGTACATCCTACAACTTATACTAAATGTTGGAGCAATCTTAACAAAAATTACATCCTTATGTCCTGACATTACTGAATAAAATTGCTGAACAGGCAGTAGGTTTATTGTTCTTACAAAATGTGTTCTTCATATTTACAAGACAGTCCTTTTGGAAATAGGATTCTTCTCTGCATAAAGATCTATTTGTATGTGCAGCTTCATCCCAGTGCCCTATGCTTAAAGCTTGAAGAATAGGTGGTCAGCTTCAGCTGTGCTTTGCTAAACCTTCTGTGGCAGATAGTTTTTGTTTGTTTTCCTCATGATGAGAAATACTTACTCTGCAGAAGTGACACGAAAAGGTACCAAGCCTGATGAGGAACTCTCTTAACTGGAAATGTGTCAAAGTCTTTATGGACACAGTTAAACAAGCCAAAATGTTTCCAGATCTGCCTTACAGGAGGGTTGCTTTGGGCACTGCTGGAACATTGCCACTTCTTGAAATAGACCTTGCTGTGGACCTAGCAGTTGTTCTGTGCCGCAGTACAGCTAAATCAATTGCTCTGGTGGCACTAAATGTGCCTTTGTTGCGCTACTTCTGTGTTACAGTGAGCTCTGAAGCGCAGTGGAGAGAGATGAGCTAATGAAGAGCAGTTGGTTGTGACAGGCTAGGCCTGATGGTACAGAATTGTGATACACGGCAAATTAACTCAACATGGCTCTGCGCTCCCATGGTCGGACAACTATTGGTACTTGATTTAGTATGTTCAAAGCTAGAGACCTGCCATCTGCTTTGTTTGGCCTCATGAATAGTGACAAAACAAAGTTATTTGTTTTGTGTAGTGACAAAACAAAGTTATTTGTTTTGTTGTTAACATTTGCAAGTAAAGCCATGTTGTTTTGTATGTAGTTCTGCCACACAATGTTTGGTTCCCTCTAGATACCAAATAAAAGTTTCTTTATTTTATTTTATTATTTTATTTTATTATTTTATTTTATTTTATTTTATTTTATTTTATTTTATTTTATTTTATTTTATTTTATTTTATTTTATTTTATTTTATTTTATTTTATTTTATTTCCCTCAGGAAGCACAAAACTATTTCCCCAACCGTGGAGAATGTTTATTTTGACCCTCCAAACCTGAAAAGCTTTTTCTGGAAATGTTGGAACTTTATATGATCAACACCTAATAAGCAATTTAAATATATGTAGGATGAAAGGGAAAGAAGCAAATTATTTAACTAGTCTTCTGTCCCTCTCACGGCTCCTTGACACACATACTCTACTCACCCTCCCACACTGGTCTGTTTAAAATGAGCAACCAGTTAAATGATAACGTGCTTCCTTTTGCCTGCTCCTACTTCTGTTTCATCAGCTGTGCTTCATGTGAGGTAGTTGGTCCCTGAAATAAAATCATAGGGTATTCAGGGAACTGTATATAGGGCAACTAGGATTTACAGCTAAGCACAGGCAGCATGCAGAAGTCATCCTGGTTGAAGGATAAGTGCCGTTTGATTTGATCGTGCATAACAGATTTTTACCCTTCTGTGACTAAATGATATACAAAACTTTCAAACTGAAAAAGTCGTTCCAGGGAAAGAGACGGTCGAGTGAAATGGGAAATACTGGCATCACATTGGTTATTCCTTCACAGGTGTACTTTGCCCACACTGCCTTGAAATGGATTGAACGAGCTAATCTGGATGGCTCAAATCGTGAAAAAGTTATTCATGAAGCTATAGATACACCTGAAGGGCTTGCTGTGGACTGGATTAATCGTAAATTGTATTGGACAGACAGAGGGTACGTGCTGTACAGAGCATTTATGTCAAAGCATGCCATAAAATGTTTAGAATAAATGACCAGTGATATGTGAATAGCTGAAATATTACACTAAATTGAGTAATGCTTCACGTTCTGATTAGATAGCTCTAATCTCAAGTATAAACACTTGTAAGTGTCTTTAAAACTGAAATGCAGGAAGTTCACTGTGAGACTACTATTGTATTTTTATCTTTGTCTTTCCAAGAAGCAAGGGTTTGGACTCGGTTACAAGGAATCTAAGGCATGGGCTGCATATACATGTGTATATATATATGCAAATGCTTGTTTGTGTGTGTGT